TAAATTAGACATACAGATATGCATATGTATGTGTAAACGTTTAAAAAATTAATTTTGTACATATAAATTTAAATAATTTAAAAAGATAAATAATCTTTTTATAATTTTTTTTTTTAAATTTGTTATGACTTTATTGTAAGTATATCGCTTAAATATTTATTACATTTAGTAGTGCAGAAAATGTTTGTACCTTCTTTTTTCCACCAAAAAATCACGATTCTTATCGAACAGCTTATTGCCGGCAAAGTAAATTGTAAATTATCTATCATTAACATAATATTACCATAAATTCTTGTAAAGGAATGTATAGAAGGGATCAGGACGCCGAATGTTATCGCTATGAAAACAATGAGAACTCGAAAATTGCACATTATCTTCTGTCGAGGATTCTGTGCAGATTTAGGCCAAAGTCCAATAAAATCTAAAGTTATACGATTGAGTTTCACTGCCCATTCGAAATCTACCCATAGAAATTTTAATAAGTTATAACTTATGAAAAGTGTGTAAAATCTTGTATATATATATACATATGTAAACTAACAATTAATATAAACCGTGTAAATTATTTAAAAAATAATAAATATGAACAAACGGACAATATCAATCCTCATTTCAAATATCTATGATGATAAATGACTAATATTTATTACAATTGTTATAAGTTAATAATCAACATTGTAAGGAAATTCTATATCATTGACAACAAAATACAACGAAAAGATTAAATGTCATTATAAATATTAAAAATAAACGTATATTTTATAAAGTTATTCAATTATTCATATATTTCAATTATTACAATGATCACAAGAAGCACCTTGATATGCCGTATATTTTGAACCGAGTTTTGAACTGTTCATGTTGAATATTATTTAAAGACTGGTATCTATTTCTTTTTCAGAAAACACCGTTTTCTACTATTCAGCAAAAGTTTTACGTGCAATTCATGCTGTTTATACTGTTTAGAAGTATCGAGCGATCAATTTGCGACGAAGTATTTTAAATATTCTGCATCCCCTCGTTTCGAGTTTTCAGTATTTCAACGATAAAACATCATGCAAAGTGGCTAGTAAAAAAGTTTTCGTAATAACAGGTTATATTGTTACCGTGTATTACCATGTTAGTTAGAAAGATGCACATCCATCATGTTCACACGTTTTTACAAAGCGTTATTCAGTTATAGCTTACAATGATACTGTACTTTTAGTAATAAGCTGCATAGGATAGAATCTTGTATCGTACGGTTTTCGTCTTTCAAAATAAATAAATTTTGTTGTTGACGTTGTTATATGTGACTAATATATATAATGTAAGAAATAATACTAACAATACTTACTAACAAACACATCATTTCAAAATAAGATGTAAACATTAAATTATAAATTAAATAATCCACAGATATTAATGTTATATTATTATTAAATATTTTTTTAAGACATAAGCTACAAATATTAAAAATTAGATTGATCATGAGTTGAAAAATTTTTGAATCTATTTAAAATATAAGCTGTCAATATTTGTATATTTCTCTTGATTAGTAACAAGTAATAATAGATAATAATTTATTAAATAAATAATTAATGATTACATTGCAGATGTAATACTTGTATCTACATACATGTATAATACATATGTTATGCTATAATATATAGTGTTGTAAAAAAAATTTACATATCATATACACATGACTTACTTGCGTGATGCAGATATCCAAATAAAAATCTCGCTTCTTTTTATATTTAGATAATGTCATTGTGAAGATTCAGTTGCTACTTTCAAAGTAATCAATTTGTTGCAATTGTTTATTACTATAACAGTTATTAAAATGAATTATTTTATTGAAGATCTCTTAAATGTGCTATATGTTTCAATATACAAGAGTATAATTTTAATTTGCAGTACTGAAGAGGAAATTTAAACCAAAATCTCTATTTTAATACAATTATTCAATTATTATTAAATTATTTTTCATTCAGTAATAAATATCTGTCGCATGTACAAAGTATCTCACTTTTACAATCAACTATATATTTTTGTTCTACCAATTAATTCGTTGTATTATTTTATGAGCAAAAGTATTAACGTATATTTGTAAAAACATTATGTGGTTTACAAGATATTTTATTATATTTTATTCTATAGTACATAGTTTTGACATAAAGTGTAAAATATTTCATAAACTATATGAGTTTTTATCTTTAATTTGATACTTTTATATACACGTATTTGTTTTACCTTTTTATACAAATACATATATGTATATAGAGTGATCATGTTAGGTGGGATACTTTGTATGTGTGTGTGCGCGCGCGTGTGCGTACATTTATTCATTTATAAACTTTTTAATTCATAGTTAGAATTAAATTACTTTTTTAAAACTATTTTTCAATCCCTATTCTTATTTTAATACACATGTGCAAAACAATAATATCGTAAAATTATTGATAAATTATAATAAGTACACATCTTATATATATTTTTAATCAATATTTTTATTTTATACATTACATTACTACGTGATAATTACTTGATCAAATGTGGAAAATATGAACAAAAGTGTAAAAGTAAAAATATAAAGAATGAAATATTTAGAATATAGAAAAATTAATAATAGTATTACTAAGATATAAGAATAATAAGGAGTTCTAATTTTAATAATAGAGTTTTCTTATATAATTGCAGTAATTCAATTTGTGAAAACGAGATTACTAAAAATGAAGTTATAAGACGTCATAACATTCGTACTATTTAGCAAATGTATTATTACCGATAGGTGCGTTGTACAGACATATGTTTTTATAATTAATTTTGTATCAACTTGCGTGTCTTGTTGTCCTCTAATAAGTAGTAATCATACACAAAACCGATCATGCATGCGTGGGAACATATCACATGTATGGCATTGTATTCTTGTAATTCATGTTATTCTGATAATGACTACTTCGGCAAAGATATAAAGAGGGATAAGTATAAATGTGATTTGACCCTCCTATGACGTCATAGAAGAGTTAAATCATATTTATACTTATTTCTCTTTATATCTTTGCCGAAGTAGTCATTATCAGAATAACATGAATTACAAGAAAACAATGTCATACATGTGATATATTCCCACGCATGCATGATCGGTTGTGTATGATTACTACTTACAATTAGGGGACAACTGGACACGTAAATTGATACACAATATCCTTCATATATTCTAATGAATTTTTAAGATGTTCAGAATGTAGGATTGGATTTACCCCAATGCTGTTTATGTGTGTTCATATTTCATTCCACCAATATAACAAAATGGGTAAAAAGTAGTAAATGATATATATCACGAAACTTCTTTCTCCGTTAAAGCTCCTAAGTAGTCATCTTAACTATATTGAATTGTAACATCATAAACGAGAAATATGTATTACGTTGATTTTTCTTGCATGTCACTTAGTAAAGATAATTTGGATGAAACGAAGTGATGAGATAGCCTTTTCAAACAGTTGTAAAAATAGATTATCCTTAGCTCCCCTGACAGTCAATAAATAATATAAAAAGGTTTGTGAAATGAAAATAGGCTACGTATGCGCATTGAATAAAGACTAGTAGATGTATTTTACGTGCCTTTTATAACCATATATTTATAACTATATATTTTATATACTGACTGTCATAGAAAGTCTCGGCCTATTTTCATAAGTGTTTTAAAGTGATCTCAATAATTTGTTTTATCCAAATTCTTTTTATTTGCAGTGTAATGTAATTAAATGGTAAGAAAAATCAACGTGTCATGTTTCGCTTATGACGTCACGATTCAATATGGTTGAGGTGGAGTATTCAGAAGCTTTAAATAGCACTTGAGCATTGTAAAATAGACGAGGTTGAATCTCATTTACTAGAAGAGTTAACTATAAATGGTAATTATATGCTATATTGAAGAAGCTGTCCAAATGATTTTGATCTTGACATATGTTGTTAAGGTTGTGATCTCCAATATGTTTTAGTCGATTATATTTGTTAAAAAATTAACATATAAAACAAATGAATGTAATTTTTAAATTCAAGACATATATTTTATATATTTTTTGTGTAGGAACGTTCGATTTTCCATGCGAAGTGACGTCCTTTCCATAACTCTCTGCATAAGTGTCCGATTTTCTTTGTACAACTATAATTTAAATTACATATTTTTTTTTTTTAATATAACTAATTTAAATATTTATGTGTAAAATTCTGTATTACAGTTTAAAATATTATGGACAATAATAAACTTAATTAATTCTTAATAACTTTTTAATAAATAACGAACGACAGCTGAAATCTGTTGAGGGTCATAATTTTGGTAACATATATTAAGGTTGTCGAAGTTTGTTACCCAAAATAAAAATTTAATACTGAAATTTTACCTTTAATTATCCCAGAAACAATAAGAGATCGCCACCTAATTGTTCAGGCAACATAATTTGTGTTCTTGATCATGATCTTGACAACATTAAGACAGTATCCCCTTACTATGTAATTATCATATATTTTTTAAATGATTCAATTTACAAGAAGCGTGAATTTAAAAATTGATATAAATTTTAATCTAAATCCAAATATATATAATTTAAATATAGTATAAAATCCGTATTTATATCATATTCTAACTTCGCTAACTCGTGCAAAAAAATTCATAATTTATTTGCAATTAATATATAAATACTTGTACAGTTTTTAAATTGTCATGCTCTATTAAAAAATGTATAATGTTGAAAAATATTTAGATTTATCTTTTTTATTTAATAACCCTTTGTTGTATGTAAAACAGATATATAACCGGCTGACGTTTTTATTAACTGAAAAATATATATTTATGAGTAATATAATTAATAACACACATTATGATCAAAGTCTAACATTGCATACAAATGCAATAAAATAAAAATATATAAGATATATAAAATTTCCATAACATAGATCATTGCATGGAAAATATCAATAACAATTAAATATTTAATATAATGCCATAAATGTAATTAAATATTAAAATACATTACGCCGCAAAATGTAGCCATTGTCATAGGAAATATTTTTCCAGCGGTAAGATAGACTGGTTTAGCGCCTCTTACCAATAAAAGCAATAAATCTTTCGCAATTTTTGGATCCACAGAATACCATTCATTATTGTATGCCGCATAATATATTTCATTACACTTAAAGATATTATGAGAATGTTTTTATATACCAATTATTATGTGTAGTTAAGACCGCTGTGAGATTCACGTGCAGATTATATAGTCAATCATACATTATGCAAGTACGAAGATACTAAATGCAAAAATTATCTCTACTATGCAAAGATCTACTATATATCTTTTATATAGACGATTCTCGTAATTGCCCTCTACATTTTTCTTATTGTTAGTGTTTTGACATCAAGAGCTTTGTTTATCAATATTTACTTTTAAATGAGTTTAAACGGAAGCAAATTAAATTGTCACTAATTATTTTAACTTTGTGTAGGTAATTATTTTGAAATAAATCATATAATATTACATGTGTGACGTATAAGCATTGCTTTTATAATAAAAAGGATAAAACTTACCCGAGTCATTAAAATTTCTCCCAGGGCACAATAGAGACACATATGCGAAAATATAGTGAAAACATTGCATGTAAAATATATCAAGTGAGTGACTGATAGATTATTTCCTTCGTTGAATAGCTAAATAATTCATGATACGTGGTAAAGATATAATATTCTCATAACTTATTTTAGCATTAACAATACTTTAGATGTTCGTAATGTTTAATAACAGGTAATGCATGTTTTTAATTTATAAATAATCAATATCTAATTTACATAAGCAAATTTTTATCTATATATGCTTTTATATATACATATGCTTGTGACAATTGAATAAGTAGCATGTGCACCACAAGTATATGAGAGAGGTGTAACACAGGTCAGAGGCCTAACGTAAGAAGAAGAAGAAGAAAAAGAAATTTTTATCTGTAATTAAATACTTACGGTAATTATTCGGAAGCCATAGAAAGCAAAAAGTATTGCAAAGTATACAAATAACGCTAGAAGTGTTATGTTATACGTATCTTCAATAACGTCAATAGCTCTATATGAAATATATTCTCTGTATTGTATGCATTTGATTAATAACATATTTTATTACAGATTATTCATAAAAATATCAAACCTAAGTAAACGAATGTGTTTTGTCACGCAACTTTTCAGCATATTGCGAGAAATGATATATTTATCCAAACGTGTCAAACGATTTTTGAGAATATCCAATTGGCCGCATATGTGAAAAATTAGTAATCCAAGAAAATTATCGATTCCAGTATAAGACATAATGGCAAGAAGAATGTAAACAGCTTGACTAACAAACGTTATTTCGTATTGCGGCCTTTTGGTTATATCGTAAATATAATACGTTTGTAGAGGCATTGGTTTGCCTGGATCAGTGATATTGGGCGTTAATCTCATCGATATTCCAAAGCTTGGGAGAATGATAATGAAAAAACACGCTACTCCCATTATGCAATAGGCGCAAGTAATAATAATGCGTGCAGTGTATGCTCTTCTAATCATAACGTTTCTATCTTGTATATTTTTCGATTTTGTCCAATCTTCCGCGATCATATTCATGATCGGTATGATGGCTTCAAAATTGTCAATATTAAATATTTAAATGTTTAAATACTTAACGGTACATACATTTAAATACTTAACAGTAGATATATATTTGAATTAAAATTAGGTAAAACTATGCCAACATTAATCCTAAGCAATAGAAAGTTTAAAATAAGTAAATAGAAATAAATAAATAATATAACTATAATATTATTTTCATGCTAATTTTAATAACAAAAATAACCGAAGTAAATAATAAAAATAAATAGTAAATGGCATAATAAAAAGATTTAATAATCTAAGGTTTTTATTGCACAGTAATCATAATTTAAATAGATTTCATTCGTTATTTATGCATATTAATGAAATTACTAGATTGTCTGGAAAGTCTATCGATTATTTTCAAACAAGATTTAAATATTTATTTTACATATAAATTATTCTTATTTATATATACATACTTAATTTATAAAATATTCTTTATGACATTATATTATAATTTTATAGGTTAAGGATATTGTTTCTAATTTTGTCTACCTTCCTTCTTCCACCAAAAAATCATGATTCTTATCGAACAACTTATAGCCGGTAAGGTAAATTGTAAATTGTCTAGCATTAGCATTATGTCTCCATAAATTTTTATCAATGAATGTATAGAAGGTATTAGTACGCCGCACGTTACGGCCAGAAATACCATAAGCACCCGAAAATTGCACATTAACTTCTGTCGAGTGTTTTTTGCGGTTTTAGGCCAAAGTCCGATAATATCTAAAGCGATCCGATTTAATTTTACCGCCCATTCGAAATCTACCTGTAGAAACTTTAGTAAATTAGAACTCATGTAAAATATCTATAATCATAAACACGCACAAATAAATCCACAATTAGATGAACAATAGAACAAAACAGTTAAAATATTATTTAATGGATGTAAATAAATAAAATATTTAAAAATAATTTTGTATGTTATTAATTATAAATTATTAATTATAAATGTAGATATTTATCAATAATGGTTTGATTATTCAAAATCGAAGATTATTTTCCAAAAATAATCTATTAACTACATTAGATCTGTGATTACAAATTAATTTGTTAATTTAACAACATTATTAATAAAATAAATACCCGTTCTAAAATAAGAGTATCATTAATTTACAAAATTAATTCTTATTAAACTAATAAAGCTACTAGTACAACATTGTGTTTTTTCATAGAGAATAGTAAATATAAATCATAACAAAGCATTAGTTTACTAGTCAGACTAACTAATTTACTACTTTTCAACGAGTTTGTAATCAATATAATATTATATAAAAAAATACAAAAAACTATTATTAATAAAATAAAATTTATATTAAGTGCCACTACTATTTGCACATATGCACATATTATAAATAAATATATTTTTATAACATCTTTCTTTCAAATTGCAGATCTTTCTTTCAAATTGCACAACGATTACAACTATTACAACGACTTCAATGACGAACACCTCGATTTGAATCATCCATGTCGAATGTTATCTGCAGACTGACAGCTGTTTCTTTTTCATGCAACAACGTTACCTTCTATTTAACAAGAAAGTATTGCTTGCGCATGCTTTCAATAATTCTTGAAAGGACTGAACGATCAACTAGTAGCGAAGTGTTTTAAATATTCTACATCGCACGACCCTCATTTTCTCAGAAGTTTTCTGCACTGAACATAGTGCAAAACACTTAAGGATAAAAAAAATTCAAAATAACAGGTAAGTTTTTTTCTCGCGTTAGCAAAAAGGCGTGTTTATATACACCCGCTATGTCCCACGCTCCGGTTGCACCTTTGCTGTAATTTTCATACCTAGATAATTTTCGCTACAACTACAAGATCACTTTTTTGAGTGTATGAAATAATAAATCTAATATTTAAACATTATATCTGAAATATACATTTAATGTTTAATATTAAAAATATTATTTTTTCCCTATGTATATAAACACATATATAATTAATATATTAATTTAAAATATTATATAAAATAAGACACATTAAATTGAATAATGTAAATATTTTATTTCTATTATATAATAAAATATATATAATAATTTAAAAAAAACATGTCTCTTTTACGTCCTATTCATAATTACTTAACTAAAAATTTTTACATTTACGCTTCTCATAAATTTTCTGGTGTAAATGTACTAGTGAAAAATTTGATGTCTTCTTCATCTTTGGTTTGCTAATAGAAATGATATATAACCAGCCGATGTTTTTAACATCTATAACATATTTTTTATGCAGATAACATGAATAACAGAAAAAAATTATTAATTGATAAATATTAATTGGTAAATGGTTGTATAATTGAATATTTAAAAACATAGAAGTATTACATCTTGTTAAAATAATTAGAAATATTTATTTATATAATTGTTTTGTTATCGTTTATAATTTGATATTTATATTTGTTAATAATTAAATATTTATTTAATTTGTAAATAAATGAATACAGCATTAAATTGTTAATGCCAAGAAAATGCCTTGATTTTAAATTTATTTTTAAATTATGTAATACAAATATTTTTCAGATTAACTATAAAAATAATTTATAAATTTTATATAAGTTAATAAATAATAAATAATAAAAATAATAAATTTTATATTAATTAATAATCTTACACTGCAGAATGTAGTCATTGTAAGTGGAAATATTTTTCCTGCAGTGATGCGGACAGGCTGACTAGCTCGTATCATTATTAAAATAAGACTTCTTGCATTTTGTGGTTCTAATTTGTACCATTCAAGACTGCACAAAGCACGATATATTTCCTCGCACTTAACGTAAATATTGATATACATATATTGATATACTGTATTAACATATATATATATATATTGATATATATCGTATTAACATATTGTATGTATATACATTCTATATGTATATACATACTATATGTATATAGTTACAAGACATTTATATAAATTATATTAAGAAATTAAATTTGTAACTTACTTGCATTGTTATAATCTCCCCGGCACCGCAATAAAGAAAAGTATGCGAAAGCAAAATGGTAATACCAATTAATGGAAAACATAATCGTGCGAAAGAAAAATCATTTCTTTCGGTAATCACCTGAATAATATACCTTGATATAATTAGTAAAAATTAATAAATTCTAGATGGTACTTCAACAATCTGCACAAGTTGAAATAAAAAAATATTATAAAATAAAATTATATAACGTGTGTGCTAATATTCTTAATTAGCAAAATGTTTAAACTTACAGTAAGTAATAAGAATCCATGTAGACAAAATACAATGCCAAAATAAAATACTAAGCCTAACATCATAAAGGTAAAAGTATTTTCAATAATACCAACAAATCTACATAACAATTTTAAAAATGACATGATTTAACAACAGTAACAATAAATGTAAAATTAGAAGGAATATATATAAAAAAATTTTAATAAAATAATGCGAAAAATATTTGTTTTATAATTTAACGTAAAAAAGTATAAATAATTTTAATATGTTAAGTTATATTAATTATCGAAATACGATGTTTTCTGCAGTGTTCCATAGAACTAATTTTTATAATTTTAAAAAAATGATGGTAAAATTTAAAATGTTCTATCGTTTATTATTAAATTAATTTTACTAACAAATTATTAAATAATTTTTTATTACAGGGTCATTATTTGTGATTTAATTTCACTTATAAATGTATAATTATAATGGTGAATATAATTAGATATATATATGCAAATACCTGATAAGCCGTATATGATTCATTATGTTGTGACTCAAAGTATAAATAAAATTTTGACATGAAATCAGATTAGTTACACGGTTTTTGAAGTTTTCCAGTTGACCACTGAAATGAAGAATCGAGAATCCAAGAAAAGCGTCTACCGAAGTATAAGTTACAGCGGCTAAGAAGATTGTAATAGCTTGAACAATGTACGTTAGTTCAAATTGTGGGCTCTTATTTATGTCATAAAAATAATAAGTCTGCAGCGGCAATGGCTTGCCCGGATCCGTCAGATTTGTCAAACGTCTTAACGATAAACCAAAATAAGGAAGAATGATGACCAAAATGAACGCCAATACCATGAGAATGTATCCACTGATGACAATAATTCTAGCAATCTGTGCTCGCCTCATCATTACATCCCTTTCCTTTCTTGTCTTCAATTCCATCCAGTCTTCCGCCATCATTTTTATGATGGATAAAAGTGCTTTGAAATATAGAAAATCACTTGTTGAACCGTCACATATTGTTCCTTGTTTTAAAGTAATGGCAAGTACCTTTAAATATACATTAAGTTTCATATCTTTTGTACAATAAATTTTCTTGATATCTTCGTGTCATACAGATATAATTCCACCTATACCTGTTTGTTTCCACCGCATAATAACAAGTTTCAATGAGACTACCAGTAAAGGTAATGTAACTTGGAGATTGTCTACCATAAGTATCATGTCTCCCCAAACTCGTATAAGGGAGCAGGTGAGAGGTATACCAGAAATAAATGTCACTATAACGAAAATAATGACCACACGGAGATCAGAAGAGAAGTTATTTTTAGGTACTTCATCATTCTTGGGCCATAATCCAATTAGTTCTAAACCCAAGCGATTTAATTTAATCGCCCACGCAAAATCTAGTTACATATTAAGATTAAAGATTTTATTAAAAAATTTTATGATTTACTAAAATAAAAAATTTAGAATATCGATAGAGGATTTTTTAATTTTATGAATATGTGTAATAATTAGGATTACACAAAACAAATATTGCAAAAATGTAACAACTTAAATTACTGTATTTTTACATACGGGTTTATAATAGGTCGAGATTATTTGTAAATATTTTTGCGATTATGTCTGAATCGTAATGCCTTTAAATAATGCTATGAATTTGTAATGATAATATTAAAGAATATTACAATTTAAATATTATAAACGTTTAGAAAAATATTTACATGTAATTCCGAACTATATTTATTTTAAAATAAAATACAGTAAAAAAATTTTAAGAAACATTCACTCTTTTTTATAAAAATATATATATAATAAATATTCGATACCTTTATATTGTGAATGTTTGGCAATGTCCATGCCAAAGACTAATGCGAACACGCTCACACCACTTGTTGTACTAGGCAAACTATGATTATTACGCATGTCCACGATACGAGTGCAACAACCTGGTTGTTTCTCCGAAGAATGCATTAAATATTACAAATGCTACTTCCAATTGATAACAGCTGTTTCGTTTCGTTCCAAAACTTCACGAATAAAAAAGTAACGTTCATGTTTCTAAGAAGAAAGGTTCACCGTGTTGTATACGACATCTATTATCGCTAACACGATAAACTATATCGTGTTAGCGATATAGTTTATCAAAGCTAACGCTCAAACTATATCCTAAGAGCCTCTTTATACTTTGTAATACGACGATCGTGTTCACTTCGTACTAGAGATGTCCATTTGGGTGCGTTTTGCAGAGAGGCCGTAAATATTTAGAAAAACTTCGGACAAAAAGTGTAATGGAAAAAAAATGTTCCATAAGCTGTACGAATAATGTAAATAGTTATTGAAAAAATTTATTTCTTGATAATATATATAAATAAATGCATATTTTTTACGTATGTAAAGAATTATAATAGATATATTGATTTAATGATAATCTATATACAAAGATTTTCCTATCAGAAAAATCTTTGTACATAGATTATCTTTTTTTAAGAAAAATCACAATAATTACTAATAAATGTATATATTTACATTTTTTTCTAGTAAATTTGCATATTGTATAGTATTCTATTATAAACGATTTTATGATTATATTTATTATTATAATTCTTATACGTATAAAATATATTTATTTAATTATTGATTGATGAAAAACAACACGTCATAAGTTTAACGGCATGTTCTGAGTTTAAATATTTAATACTAAACGTTATAATAAATATTCATATTATATAATTTACAATAAATAACAAACTTATTCTTAAAAGGATACTAACATAATTATTTATTGATATTTATAATTATTTAATTTAATATTATATTAATTTATTATTAATTTAATATCTATACTAATATTTTCTCATCTTACTTTTGAATAAGTATCTAATATAGCACATTTCTCATAATTCAATTTCGCGCTTTGCTAGTAAAAATGATATGTAGCCAGCCGACGTTTTTAATAGCTAAAAAATATTTCTTTATTTAAAAATGCTATAAAGTATAAAAGGGCATTAATACAAAATTTTAACTTTATGGCAGTTCTGTTGACAGTTCTGGATAGCACCCCAAGAGTTCTAATAAAAGTTATTAGCATTTAAAGCGCTATGACTAATGATTTAGAAGATATCGCAATTTTTCGTTGTGCGTTTTGTGAAGTTAGCACCCCAAATTTTAAATTTTCGATTTTTAGTGTTAATTCGTCAGAACTATTTTTTATTTTAGGCAGGAACTTCAGAACTCTTCGAGGTGCATTCAGAACTTCGTCGAAAGTTTCATTTTTTTAAAAATGTGGTGTCAACTTCACAGAGGTGGGGCCTTACGCGCTCGCGCCTGCGCCTGAAGTGTCAGACCAACAGTACGTCACACGATAGTACATATGCCTAAGATAATGCATTCGAATTTTCTTTCTCTCTCTCTTCTTCATTCCTACGCATTTATTCACTTATTGAGTTATCTACATTAATTATTACTAACTTTAACTTCAAAATGATATCGAAGCATTTGTCACCTTGCTTTATATGATTCTAGTAAAAAGCTAAGTGTTACAGAATTTTTTGTTAGTACAAATGTAAAATCAGACAAAATAATAGCGCGAAGTTGACATAGGTATTTACAAATCGTGTTTTAAAAAACAAACGTAATACTTTTCGAAAGAATGCGTAAATTTTCGTAAGAAATGCAATTGTGCTTCTTAACTCTGAACCAGTTAATAATATGGAATCAAAATCAAAATCAATTACGAGTTAAAGGTTATGAACTATTAAACACATTGTACAGAGATTCGATAATTTCACTTTTCAACTTCTGGAGAAAAACAGATAAACAATTTTACGTCGGATTATAGGTGTATATATATATATTGTCCAAAATAGAGGTAATTTATTGCAATGAATTTCTATGACAAACATTTTAAGCAGATATCAGATTTTTTACATATCATATTCAGGTTAAAACTATTATACAGTTATTAAACATACATTTAAAGAGCATAGATGTGTGTGTGTGTGTGTGTGTGTATGTGTGCGCGCGCGCGTGCGCGTGTGAGATAGAGAGGATGGAAGAGAATTCAAATGCATTACTGTAGACGTGCGTACCATCGCAATACTGCGGGCGCAAGCGCATAAGGGGGCCCGCACACACTCGTCAGAATAGTAAACGTAAGACGTTGTAAGACGATTGTAAGAATTAGCCAATTAGAGCTGAAAGTTTTCGAAAATTCTTGATTATTATTGGTTAATTCTTACGGTACGTCTTACGTTTACTGTTACGGAGAATGTGCGTGCGATAGTTTTAAGGCCCCGCATGCATCGGTAATAGCGCGCCACCCCTGCTTACATTCCGTACTCAACTTGTGATATGTTGACTATTTCTCTTTATAATTTAAAAACTAAGCTTCGGACAAATTTTTGCAAAGGAAAAATCGTTTTAGAATACAGTCAGAAATATGTCTTTTTTAGGACAAAAGGTTATTTTAAATCATCTTTATATCGTAAATCATATGTAAGTCTCATTGAATTGATAAAACAGTAATTCCGTCGAAATTTAATCTTCAGTTAGAATTTCTTTAGTTAATAATGTCTCAATTTCGTACATGCAAAGAGTTATAGTAAAATTTAAATTATTGATAACCTTACGCTGCAAAATGTGGTCATTGTTAATGGAAATATCTTTCCCGCGGTAATGCGAAAAGGTTCATTAGCACGTATCATTAATAAAATAAGATATTTCTTTTTCCTTGGTTCCAATTTATACCATTCAAGATTACATATAGCACGATATACTGCTTCGCACTTGACACATATAAACACATATGAACATGTATAAACATATATATAAATACATCTGCATTACTTTTCATTGTATTCATTATATATTATATTATATTCGATGAAACTGAATATTCAGTAGATATTCCATAAACATGAATTAACATCTATTAGGGTTTTTAATTAATTTTCTATTTTTGTTTAAGAGCACAAAGATAAAAACAAATAAAGAAAAAAGTATGTTCCAATGTTAATTAATGTTTATAATAATCAAAAACAAAATTTATGAGATACAAGGAATTAGATGGATGGAAGTTATTTAATCCATGTTATAATTGACCATAAGCTATTCATAATGCTCGTCCAGTGGAAAAAGTTTAGGTATATGTATATCTGTCGCTGTAAATAGCTGTGGTCAATCATAACGTGGTCAAACAAGACGCTTTCGAATTAGATATACATGAAATTTTTATAATGCATACATACTCTCTAAATTTACATAAGTAAAAAAACATCATATTTGGTAGTTTTTTGTATCTATTAATACGTTTTATAAATTTCCAGTTCAAGCTAACACTGTGTGCCGATTATTTATTGTTCTTGAAACATAGTCCAAAAGTGAAGCTGGAGTAATAAATTAAATTAACAAGTAATTTAATACAATATTATGGCTGTAATTAAGCATCTTAATAAATTAGACAGCTGTTAATAATTCAATGCTATAAACATCTTAAAAAATTGTAAGTAATTTTTTGTAAAAAAAACCGAAATGCAAATTCGGATTTCTTGCCGAAATGCAAATTCGGATTTCTTGCCTTGCTTCAGACTCCTCTCAATTCGATCATCGATCATGTAATAATTTTGCTCTCTAAATTTTTTGGAGCGGAATTTTACTTTAAAGAGTAAGATTTACTCTACAAATTTTAAAGAGTATGTCTACATATACATGTATAAATACAAAGTTACAAAGTAAATTTAAAATAAATTAAAAAGTACTAATTAACATTTATTTGTTTTAGTTATTTAGTAAATAGAAATATTGCTTACTTGCTTTGCTATAATTTCCCCTGCACCACAGTAGAGAAACGTATGCGCCAATAATGTAAAAATTCCAATCACTAAAAAGCATATTCTTGTAAGAGACATGTGACCTATCTCGTTTCCGGTAATCACCTGGATAATATATCTTGCTAATTAATAAAAGTGTATTTTTCATTAATTATATAATTAATTTACATTTTATACGCTCTACTCATTTACACTTACAGTGACAAACAGAAATCCAAATAGACAAAATACAATACCAAAATAAAATACTAATCCCAACATCATTAAGGTGAATGCATCTTCAATGTTACTGGCAAACCTATAAATGTGAACATGTTTAGATAGATTATATGTTAAAATTAAAGATATAGAACATATGGACTGCGCTGTGTGTAAAATTGGTAAACAACAATGAGAAAAATAAAACGCGAAAATGGCCAATCTTTATCCCTCTTTCTATTGAATAATTAGCAATCACAATACCTTTGAGAAAGAGATTAGCCGCGCATCTTTACTCTCAAGTCTCTCTCTTATTTTTGTTGAACATATTTTTATACTATTTAGATATAAATAGGGTAATCCAGCTTTAAAAACGATATTTTGACGTTAAAATGGCGACAAATAATGTCGGTTTGTTTGCTGGGACGTTATTTAATAGATATTATTACAGTCTGTTCCACAAAAGCGTACGGACTATTTCTTTGTGGACCGTCAGCCGTATTCGGAATCGAACAATCGTCTAATAGGATTAAGGTTCACTTCTACACCCTTTTTCAATAAAAGATTCTTCGCCGTAACAAACACCCAGGATTCTTCTCAACATATCTTAATGATAGCTGTGTCGTTCATTTTTGTCGGTTGAACGCCGCGACGGGTGCCACATTTCGGCTGATCGTCAACACTTTTTGTTTCGTTATAACGTTTCACCCATTTTCTAATGAATCTTTCTGACTTTTTCATGTAGCAGCCGGCAGCTGCATACGACATTTTCGGTCCTTTCAGATGTGTGCAAAGAAACACTGTTTCAAAATAACTTGCGTACGCAGCACTCATTGTGTTTATTTTGCTCTATTAGAAATCAAGTAAGTTACTGGAACATCAAAGCATTCTTTCGAACTGTTCAGAGAATTGGAAAAATCAAATTTAACATTTGTGCGTCATCTATTAATGAAATATGGAACTGCATGCTCTTGTGGAACAGACGTATATCTATAAATAGATACAATATATTGATATTTATTTTTTTATATTATCTTACATTTTTATCTACAAATTATTTGTAGTAAATATATCTAGTAAAAAATATTGTAGCCAAAAGCATCAATATTTTTTATTCCATAATCTGCTTTTTTTTTTTAATAGTAATGGATGTGCAAATTAATTAATAATAATTAATGGTTGTTTTTTACAAATACGCACAAACGCTCCCATCGGGAAAAATCCCATGGACAGCACATCACTGGTTTGAACTTCGCGTGGAAAATTGTAAATCCATACAAAGCGCGGTTTTATATAGATTTACAACTTTCAATGCAAAGCTAGATTTTACATATATTTACAATTCAAATTTATATGTCTAGTTTTTTTGTAGTAAGTATGGGAAGTAGGATTCACATATACACTATACAATACAAAGTGAAGTTTTATATAAGCATAACTTTCCATGTATACTGTATTATTTTTTAAAATGTTAGAGAAAATAATTCATTTTATTAGTTAAAAACTGTTTAACGAATAATGTAGGACGGCTAAAACTTCTGAAGCCTTAGTAGTATAATTTATTGTCGTAATATTGGTCCAATATATCTTTATACGCACCAATGTTTAATCAATTTTTTGCTAATGAATTATGCTACTTGGAAGATCACTCAGATAACAAATATACCGGGTATTTCAGACCATTAGAGAAAAAAGTAATTAACAGTTAAAAATTAATTAAATTATGCAAAGATAAATTTCACAAAAGTTTTACTATAATACACGTACATCTAATTTTATAATTATTGCGATGTTATTATATTTTAAACTATTGAGAAACCTTATTATTCGTAGATGCGTCTGTACATTGTTACGCAGAGCGGTATCAAAATCTTTGCAGGATGTCAAATTGATCAATCGATGTTTAAAGTTCTCCAACTGACCACAAATGTGAAGGATCAAGAGTCCAAGAAAAGCATCTACCGAGGTATAAGTTGTTGCACCTAGAAACATTGTCGTAGCTTGAATCATAAGCGCGAGCTCAAATTGCGGACTCATATCTGTGTTGTAAAAGTAGTACGCCTGAAAGGGTAATAATCTTCCCTGATCCGTAAGATTTGTTATATATCTGAAGTGTAGCCCGAAAGCAGGAAGAATAATTAGCACGGTGAATACGAATATCATCAAAAAAAATCCACAGATCACAATCAATCGCCCAGTCCGTGCTCGACTAATCATTACGTTTCTTTCTGCGTCTATCTTTAATTTCATCCAATCTTCTGCCATCATCTTTACGAGCAATACAATAGCTTAAAAATATAATGAATTCATATAAAACATTTACGGTTATGAAACTAAAGTATATTAATTTCAGACAGCTATACCTGTACGTTTCCATCGTATGACAATAAGTTTCAGTGAAACGACTAGTAAAGGTAAAGTAACTTGGAGATTGTCTACTATAAGTATCATGTCACCCCAAACTCGCACAAGGGAGCATAAAAGAGGGATAATAGATAGGACAGTTACTATAAAGAAAATTACGCCCACACGAAGATCCGAAATGAAGGTATTCTTAACATCTCCATTGGTTTTGGGCCATAAACCGATTAATTCTAAACCGAGTCGATTTAGTTCAATTGCCCACATAAAATCTAACGATATTTCAATGTCAATAAATTAAAATATACTTGTCAAATTAATTGAAATTTGATAAACTTGTTTTATGTTGATATAAATATAACAAATATAATTTGAAAATTAAAAAAATTAATAATTAAAAAATTTATAAAAATGATATTTGATAATTTAAATATTTTGATATCTACATAAGTACCTAGAGTTAGCTATTTATAAAAGTCGAAAAGTTTCGTAATTTGATCACAAATGTCAAATTAATAATTAAAGAATTTTTAAATCTAAATATACATTTAAAATAAAAAAACTTCATGTGCGAGTTAAATAAAAAAAAAGCTCATATATATAAGATAAAAAATTTTTTGGAGTGTAATATATTTAAAAAATTAATATTAACGTTTAGCACAATTTTTGGTTTTACTATAAATGTTTCAATAATTCAAAAATTTACACAAAAATTGTTTTTATTACAATTCAAAATATATGATAAAAATATTTGATACCTTTATAACCTGAATGTTTAGTAACGTTCATATTGAAGATTAATACAGAGAATTCAGTTCTTGCAACTTTAGCGCTCAAAATGGTCATCACGCATGCTCATGATGTAACAGATGGTTACTTCATCGAGAGATACATTAAATATTACAAGTACTATTTCCAGTTGATAGCACTTTTTCAGTTCGTAAAAGAACTTTACGGTCATGAGAACTGATCATAAAGTGTATCGATAACTAAAGTAATAAAAAGAGAGATATTTTTTGTCACAACATGATCGTCGAGACACGTTACGTCTCTGTTATACAAGTTTCCCCTAACTTTATAATGTTTTACGCACGCGAAGCACTTCGTAGCCAGCGACAATAACGTGTCATTGAATTTTTAATAAACCTATGTAGGGGAAAGAGAGAACATAAAAAACTTCGACTAAAAAGAAAAAAACAAAAAACCGTTTACGCTAATAAGAAGGGAGATATATTGTGTTTTGTACAAGTACTACCACCAACACGTCAAATAATATGCTAAAAGTTTTTACATACTTTATACTCGATCGTGTTGTATGATAACATGTTCACTTCGTAACTAGAGGTAGTTACGGGTAATGAGCAGTTGCGTTTTATTGGCTCTCTTTTTTGCAGAAAGGTCGTAGAAGTTCAGAAAAACTTTAAATAAAAACTGCGATGCGGAGAAAAAAATTAGCGTGCCATAAACTACAGTAATACTGTAAATATCGATTGAAAAGACATTTTTTGATAATATAAGTGAATAAGTGAATGTGTAGATACTATTGTATCTAAGGATTATAACTCATTCACTCAATCTCTCTCTCTCTCTTTCTCCCCTCTTAATTTCTTCTCTCTCTCTCTCTCTCTCTCTCTCTCTCTCTCTCTCTAAAAAGGCATAACAATTACGTATAAATTATATAATAAATCATATAATAAATATATACATATTTTTTTTTCTTTCTCAAAATGAATTTGCATATTGCATTATGTCATAAATAATTATATAATTATATCTTTTTATTTTAATAATTATGTAATGTATAAAATTTGTTTGTTTGATTATTGATTTCACTATTAATTATTAAAAACACATCATAAATTTAAAGGCAAGTTTAAAATATTTAATATTAAACATCACAGTTAATATTCATAATATATACATATAGTATATCAGTGCACCCCTCGCCCTGATGAAGTAAACGGCATGATTCACGAAACAGACACGGCGATAACCCGCAAACCTTCTAGTATAATTGAAGACAATACCTGTGAAAGCCTCCAATGCGTAATATACATCTAATTTACAATAAATAATAAATTTATTCTTGTTTTATAACGATATTACAAAACTAATTATTAATTTATATTTATAATTAGTTAATTCAAAATGTATTACACTTTTTTTATCTTATTTCTTACGATACATAGCTATCGTATTGGCTGTGGTGTTAGCAGTACCAGCACGCAGCTAGCATGCTAATACGCAAGTACGCAAATTCAGTTAGTAACAGAGAAAAAAGCATCGTTTACTAATAATAAATTTTTATATGTAATAATCTAAAAAATTTTTTAATATAAGACGTTTTTTTAATAGAATATATTTAATTTATTATTTTTATTGTGTTTGGTTTTATTTTTATGAAATCATAGGAAACATACAATGAATTTCAACGAACGCAAGTTCTATATATGTGTGGATAAATACTAATTATTACATAAAAGTAATTAACAATATAATTAAGAATATATAAACATAATAAATATTGAAATAAAAACTGCAAACATTTTATTTCCAAATATAAGTTATAATTTATATAGTAATTATCTAATTGAAAATATTTTGCATTTACTCTTTTATCACAATCTAAAACAAATTATATGCTAATAATTTTCATGCTTTAGCTTCGATTTGCCAGCAAAAACGATATATAGCTAGCCGATGTTTTTAATAGCTGAAAAAGCAGGCTTTTATTTAGAAGACTCATCAACAACTGCAGGTAAATATGCCGAATAAGGGAGATAGCCCCGTTGACCTTGACCTTGCCATATGTTGTCAACAGGGCTGGATAAAATATCTTTCAAATTTCATTTAAAATACTAAACATAAAGTACTTTTAAAAAATGTATATAAAATGCAAAATATAAAATAGATTTTTCGAATCCATTTTAAATTTAAAATAGATAAATACGTATTTTAAATGGTTTTCAAATGTAAAAATGTTTCTTACTATACATATTTTTAAGTATTTTACGTTTGAAATTCATATAATGCTGGAACATTTATTTTATGAATACACAAGTAGATAACCGATACAATACAATAAGGACTTCTTCTTCTTCCCTTCTTTAATAATTAATGATATATTACATTTATTATACCAATCTCTTGGATCTATCAAGATTTGTTGCAAGTACAATAAGAATAAGGGGTAATTATGCAGTATAAAGGATTATCCTCTAATGACCTTGACCTTGATATATATTATCAAGGTCATGACCCCGAGTGATCTTAAACAAATTTTAGTCGTCGCTTGTTGTTTGTTAAAAAGTTATTAACAAAAAAAGTTCATTAATAAAACCTAATTTTTACGACTGCGCTCCGATAAAACAAATTCCCTGCTTTAACAGCGCAAAATGTTTCCTTGTATAATTTCTTATATAATTTTTGTGTCTTTGGAGTAGAGAATTCGTATTTTTTAAGCAGAGAATTTTTTCTTTTTTAAAGCATAGAATTTCTGTTTTGAAGGAAAAAATGTGGTTTTAAAGCAAAGAATTTGTTTGCAGCTTTTGAAAGAGTCGCTACCGCGCCGCTTGATAATTGTGAGTTATAAAAGATCCAGTCTCGATGTCCTTGATCTTGACATTTGTTATCAAGATTATATAATAACTCTGAGTAATTTTATGTAAGAGAAATTTTAAACACAAATGCATTTCGATGAAAAGAAAATCTAATTCTATTCTCTTTTGGTGTCGGATAGCTCTCGCTACTCGTAGAAAGTTGTAAATCCATGATGAACATTACTTTGTGAATTTTCAACTTTCCACGCGAAAGTGAAAAATAGGTTAGGTTAGTTTTTTCGGTAATGGAGCCCCTCCGTAGGAAGGGCGGAACATATACTGCATCTACGCATACACTTTACAACACAAAACTAGATTCTACATGGGTTTATAACTTTTGTTATAGCAGAAATGATACAATTATTTTTTTTTAAACTTTTTGTTAATAAGTTTAATACGTTTTAACGAATAACGAGCGACGGTTAAAACCTATTGGAGATTACTCAGGGTCGTAACTTTGACAACATTTCTCAAGATTAAGGTAGTTGTTTCCCCTTATTCAGCATATTTATCTAATAAAATTTTATATGCAAGAGATATATTAATTTTCTATATTTGTTTAAGACTATTAACTATATACTTATGCAATCAGAATATCTTACGCTACAAAATGTAGTCATTGTTAATGGAACAATCTTTCCTGCAGTGAAACGAAGAGGCTCATTGGCTCGTGTCATCAATAAAATAAGACATCTCGCTTTTTTTGATTCTAGTTTGTACCATTCGAGATCATGCAAGGTATGATATATTGCTTCACACTTAATATGTACACAAAAAAGTATATAATAAGATATAAATATCTGCATTACTTTATACTAGATTAAATTGTTCTCATAAATATTAATTAATTTTAATTTTTATTTAGAAACGATATAAAAAATATTGTTTACCTTTCTATTGTAAGGAAATAAGAGTAGGTAAATCTTTTATAAGAAGATAAAAAAATTAAATTTTTTAATCAATATTTATGAAAATGGCCTTACTTGATATTATAGATTAGTATACATTATAAAATAAAACTAATTAAAAAAATTATAACATGCTTATGAATTATATAAAAACAGTTATTACTTAATTTTAAGAGATTCTTTTTAAATTATAATTACGATATAGATTAATGATTGGTCACAACGCATTAAAATAATTAATATAATTTATTTCTTTACAAATATAAATATATTTCTTACTTGCTCTGTTATTAGCTCTCCGGCCCCACAGTAGAGAAAAGTATGTACTAAGAGAGTAGTAATACCAACTATTGCATACAATATTTGTGAAAAAGAATTACCACTTATTTTATTGTCGGTAACCTGTACAATATATATTTTATTTAATAAAAACTAATTAACATAAGTTAAATAAACAATAATATTATAATCACAATCACAAAAAAGAGTATATAGCGCAATTATATAATATATATTGTAAACGATGATATGTAAGATGCATATAGGTATCTAAATAGCTTAATGTCTAAAAGTAATACAAATTTTTGTAAACTTACAGTAAGCAATAGAAATCCGTATAAACAAAATACAATACCAAAATAAAATACTAATCCCAACATCATTAACGTGAATGTATCTTCGATCTTATCAGCAAATCTGCAATGTAAATATATGCAAATAATCACATTTAATATACATACATAAATTATTAAAAAATAAATATTTAAAAATTATAAAAATAAAAATATTTATATATATAAAAGATAATTGATAGAAAATCTTATGTAATTATTATATGTATACTATTACTACATTTCCTCGATTTTGTCCCTGTTTCCTGCCGATTAGCTGATTGTTAGTGAGTTCGATCGATATTACGCTCAATTGTGCTTAATCGATACAAAATTACTTGCGTGTGTTATCGGTTCTACCGAGTTTATGTGTTCAAACTGTTGTCTAATTATGTAGTGGTTTTGTGTATTGGATGTTTATGCTCTATTAAATTTTTTAATTACTACAAGCTTCATGTTTATACTTTCGCAAGTGCAGGAGTGCTATGTTTTCAGTGTTTGCATTGTTGGTATAAGAATATAAATGTGCTAAAAATGCTCTATATATTGTCCTATATATAGATTAATACATTTATATCATTATTATTATGTGCGAAAATGTATTATGTTTTAAGATTAAATAAATGTACAAAACTTAATTTTTCCTCAAGTTTTGCAACATTTTATTTTGTGTGACATAATTTTATAGTTATAATTAAAACTTGCAAAAAACCTGATGAGTCGTAGATGAGCGTTCACATTACTTCGTAAAGCATTATTAAAATCATTGCCTGATACCAAGTTGGCTAATCGACCTCTGTAGTTTTCTAACTGTCCGCAGATGTGAAGAATCGTAAGTCCAAGGAAAGCATCTACCGATGTGTATGTTATAGCTGCCAAGAAAATTGTTATGCCTTGAATAATAATTGTGAATTCAAATTGTGGACTCTTATCTGTATCATAGAAATAATACGTCTGCAGCGGTAACGGTTTGTCTCGATCTGTGAGATTTGTTAAGCGTCTGAATGGTATACCAAAGCAAGGAAAAACGATGATCACAGTAAATGCTAGTATCATCAATACATATCCGCAAATTACAATCAGCCGAGCAGTTCGCGCTCGCTTCATCATTATGTTCCTCTCTGTATCTAGCTTCAATGTCATCCAATCTTCCGCCATCATCTTTATGATGGGTAAGAGAGCTTAGAAATACAAGATAACATATTATGCAATATAATTAATATTAAATTGTTTACTCTCTAATTCATAAAGTAAGAATATTATTAAGCATTTATTGTACTCATTATTAGAAAAAAAATTAAATAAATTTGAACTTTTCTCTGATAGAGAGAGAGAGAGAGAGAGAGAGAGAGAGAGAGAGAGAGAGAGCTTGCTATAAATATGAAAAATGCAAAACAATTCGATAAAAAGAAATTTATAATTAAATGATTTAAATAATTCTTGACAAACCTGTCTGTTTCCACCGCATAGTAATAAGTTTTAATAAAACTACTATTAGGGGTAATGTAATTTGTAAGTTGTCTATTACAAGTATCATATCACGTCGAACTCGTACAAGAGAACATACGAGTGGAATACCAGAAATAAATGTTATTATAATAAAAATAATGACGACGCGAAGATCGGATGTGTAATATTTATCCTTAATTACTTCATTTGTTTCAGGCCATAAACCGACTAATTCCAATCCGAAACGATTTAATTCAATTGCCCACACAAAGTCTAACAGAAATTTAATATTAAAGAGTTAAAGAATTTCTTAATAAAATGTGAATTGATATATACAAAAATTGAGCTATTTAGTATCTAAAAATTAAAGAATCTATATGCCTTTAAATTTGAGAAAGTTAAAAAATGTCAAAGGTAAGACAAAATCTTAAATAAATAACATTGGATATCCACATATATATCCACACACATATACACACACATTATATATGAAAAGATACAATAAATAATAGAGAATTGAAGACGGTATAATGCAAACAACACAAATTAATTTTATTATATAATAATTTATGTCTTAATTCAGCAAAATAATAATTTAAAAATTCTTACACAAAAATAAATTTCAGGATAAGTAAAAAACGTGATAAAAATCTAACCTCTGTAACCTCTTCGTTCAGAGATATCCATAAAGATTAATACAGAAGAATCTGCTTTGTTTTCCTTGAAAACTATTAACTCCTCTTCGTTTTCCGTTCTCTAACGAGAGATGATTATCACGCATGCTCGTGACGCAAGTACAACAACCTACCTTGCCTCATCGAAGCAACATTAAATATTAAGAATGCTATCCCCTAATTGATCATAGTTACTCGTCTCGTAAAAAAACTTGATAAACGTTCGAATGAAAAAACGTTCATAGAAAGCATTTATGTCTAGTCTATTACGACGAGAGATGGAAAATATTCTGTCATAATACTTTGTTGTTGAGAGAGAGCTTGTAAAGTTTTTTGAAAACTTTAATACGCATTTATTTCTAAATGAGAAGGAATGCGTTTTTAATCGGATTATACATATATCATAGTACATATGAGAACACAGCACAATTGCAGTTCAAAAACTTAGTCGTTGTTATACATTTTCATTGTTATACGTTTCAGATGCTCTTATTGTAAAAATACACTTTATTTTTATTGCAAAATATTAACTAACTACAGTGTTGTAAAGTATAAATACGGAACTATATATATATATATATATATATAGAACATATATAACCCGAAGTATGGAAATTAATTAATAATTACCTCCTGGTAGTTATAGAAAGCAAGTGTTTACTTACAAGATATTACGTTTTGACATTTTGCATTTTTTTTTATTGATGACAATAATGGACTGAAAAAATTAAACAATAAACTGATTGACAATTTGACAAACAATTTGCATGACTTATTAATGTTATCTATTGAAGTCATCATATAGTTACCCAGTTATCGAGTAGATCTATATTAGATATATTAGGCCATATATATAGGTTATTTTATTGTTTTATTTGGGAGCAATTAATATATTTGCTAATAATAATTTTTATTACATTTAGCCACGTACGCAAAATATACGAATATTAAAGAATAATTTAAGCCATAAAAGCATTTTTTTCTAAATAAAAAGAATGTAACATACAAAAATAACATCGTTTAACTTGATCCAATTATTCTTTTGATGAACAATAAAAATTCATTAGTGCGTTCCTCGCCCTGATGAATTGAACTGTAAGGTTCACGAAACGTTGGCATTAGTAATGGATCATGATACAGCGATAATCCGCAATCTATTTAGCACTATTGAACAATGAAAATTGTTACATTTTGAAATACATAATAATATAATTTGTAATAAATGATAAACATTAAAGTAAGCAACACCATACTTTATTTTGACTAACAATAGTAAAATATAATTATTATAGCTTCTATATTGAGAAATATTTTATTAGAAATACATTTATTTCTTTTTCTATATATAATATAATATGAAAATATATAAACACTATCTTCAACTTCCTTTTGCCAGTAGGAACGATATGTAGCCAGCAGATGTTTTTAAAAGCTGAAATGAGGCTTATTATTTGAATATACTATAGAAGGAAAAAATATTTACCCAAAAATAATCTTAATTTCATTTTTCTATTATATGTTTGTAACTATAACTTTTGCATTTTCGTTTTGACTGAGTAGGCATGCTTAATCAAAGATATTAAATATATATAAAAATACATTAGATTATATTTAATATATGGAAAAGCATAAGTAAATGAAAAATTATTATCTATATAATCTTACACTACAAAATGTAGTCATCGTTAACGGAACAATTTTTCCTGCAGTGATGTGAAATGATTCATTAGCTCGTATCATTAGTAAAATAAGACTTCTCGCTTTTCTTGATTCCAATTTATACCATTCAAGATCACACAGAGCACGATATAAAGCTGCACACTTAACAATTAAATATGTATATGTAACTTATATTTAAATATTCGTTTATATTATTATAGTATAAGTTGTTATAAAAAATAATAAATATACGATAATATAAATAAAATAATTTTATTTTAATTAATTTTATCTTTATATCAACATTTAAAGAAAAATTATTAATAAGGAAAACTTAAATTATTTTATTAAAACAAGTAAATTTTACTTTATTAAAAGATAATTAATGCTTATAAAAATATTATCTTACAAAAATATATATCAAAATATATATAACAATAAATTTTTAATAGCTGCCTGGCAATATAACAATAAGTTTAAAGAGACATATGCAAACGCAACTATAATATACAAAAATAAAGTATAAAAATTAATTGACAACATAAATGCTATACAATGTTAAAAGTATATTATGTTTTTATATAATATATATATGTGTATACAATATATACATATATATATATAAACTAAATACCGATGAGAACACACACACACACAAGAGTATATATATACACCCTGTAAAAAAAATTTATTAAATTTTAATAAATACTTTTTTTTGAATAGTGCAATTTTGGCCAGAGCATTGCTGAGTACAGCCAGAACACCCTATCCAGCTGCCTCAAATTTGCTCAAAGATTCTCCTGCACATCTAGAAGTATATGCAGGCTTTTCTGCACATTGCTTCCAAGTGCAGCTTCCCGTTTAGCCTTTTGTTTAGGATGACTCCCAGATACTTGACCGACGTTTCAGGAGTCATTCCGGCTCTTAAGATGGGCCCCTGTACGAGAACCACCTTGTACTTGCGGGTGAAGATCACGAGACTTGTCTTTCTCGGATTTACCGATAGGCTCGTTTCTCTACACGCTACTAATTGTAAGATTGCTTTACGCTGCGGTGGTCTAGTGACCTAGGACACAACTATCCGAGATTCGAGCATCGCTGGAAAGCGTCAAAGCCTTTATTTTAAGGGGTGCTGTGGGAGCAATAAGGATAATGCCAGTAGCGGCAATGGGACTGCTATTTAGCATTGAACCACTCTATCTCACAATAGTGGCAGCAGCCGCTGCTACTATTTACAAGCTGAAATGCGAAGATAAATGAACGACCGGTGTGGCTCACACTCGGCTATCATGGAAGCTCTAGAAAGAAATCGTGTTTGAGTTGAGGCAAGACAGGATGTCAATAAGGTGTGACTTCAACAGATCCTTTAAGATACCCTACAATGCAGAAAGCGCGAGTATGACGAATAGGCCACTCTTCATGTGCTGTGTAAATGTTCAGCTTACGCTGGAAATAGACGGCTTATACTGGACTCAGAATTTCTGGAGCCCGAGCAGGTACAGTCAGGGATCTCCATTGTTTCTGGAGGAAAACAGGTCTGGACTGATTAGGAATTTATTCAGCCGAGAAGACACAATGGACCTCGTCTGCGTGTTCCGATTGGTGGGGTTCTGAAAGGAGGCCGCCTCCCAAGTGTATTATTATTATTCTTTGAATAGTCTTAGTGGAATATTTAATAAACACATATTTATTAGATACAAGAACCATTAATTTGATTATCATTTTCTTCTTTATTTAAATATTTTTTACTATAAGTAAATATGCTGCTAGGACTATTAAAAAAATATTTATTAAAATTTGATAAATTTTTTTCTCAGTGTATACTTATATATGAGAGAGCTGTCTAGAAAGTAAGTTACGTTTTTAAATTTTGCCGCCGCAGCGGCGTGGTTGCGATGGTGCGCATGAGTACCGACTTTGTTGATTCATTGGCAAGGAATTGCAGACGCGGTTTCCAATTATTGGTTTAGTGCATTGTAGTGTGTGTTTATATAATGTTTAAATAAATTACGACTCTCTTTACTTGTAAAATACGGAAATTTACCGTCAAAGAATTTGTCATCATCTGGTTTGTCTCAAGAGGCCAACTTTCTATGACGAAGGAATACAAAGTTTAGTGCCTCGATAAGTGAATCAACAATGGCGGCAATTATGTAGAAAAATACTGTAAGGTGTATATACTTTAAAACAATAAAAATTTTCTGTAATTACATACTTGTTTTTCTTTTCTAATAGGCCATCGGAACTTACTTTCTAAATGATCCACATATATACAGTTTTTATTAATGTATATCTGCATAAATGTATAACTTACTTGCCCTATTACAAGCTCCCCGGCACCACAATACAGAAATGTATGCGTCAATAAGATAACAGCAGCAATTGCCATATAAATTGCTTGTGCGATATTCACATTATTTATCTTTTGATCAGTAACTACCTAGATAATATATCTCGCTAATTAATAAAAAGCAAATTATTATACGTTAGACATACAACAGTCATGTCAGACACATAAATTCATATAAGTTATATTGCATAAATTAAAATGTGTAAGAATTGAAACGTTTTTAATATATTCGCTTCACCGAACTTACACTAAGAAGTAAAAATCCACATAGACAAAATACGATACCAAAATAAATTAACAATCCAAGCATCATTAATGAGAACATTTTTTCAATGTTACTAGCAAATCTAGAAGTATAAAACAGAAAATTAAAGAGAAATATTATTTTAGCTAATGAAAGTTTACATTTAAACGAAGTTATATATTTGAAGATAAAATATAAATAATTTTAATTTAATATTGTTATAATTAAATTTGTACTTAGCCGTTTGCTAATTATAAAATATTCTAAACAGTTTTGTAAGCTTAACAGTTTTTAACGCTGATGTTATTATATATAACTTAAGTTTATTTATACCAATTTAATCGATATAAATAAATTTAATTTATAGCATCAGTCTCGTTATTTATAGGGTAAGATAAGAGTACAAGAATAAATATTTTTAAATGTTTTGCGTTGATTATTTGTTATTCAATTTTCATATTCTATTATTCCAATTAAAATTCATACCTGATGAGTCTTAAATGATACACTACGCTGTTATTCAGAGCTCGATTAAAATTTTTGCACAAAATCAAATTGGGTAAACGGCGTCTGAAGTTTTCTAATTGGCCACAGATGTGAAAGATCACGAGCCCAAGAAAAGCATCTACTGATGTATAAATTATACCTGCTAGAGAAATCGTCACGGCTTGAACAAGAAATGTCAACTCAAATTGCGGACTTTTATCTGTATTGTAGTAATAATACGTCTGCAGTGGTAACGGTTTTTTCCGATCGGTAAGATTTGTTATGTGTCTTATTTGTATATCAAAGCAAGGAAAAATAATTAACATGATAAAGGCAAATGTCATTAAAACATATCCAAAAATTATGAGTAATCGAGCTGATCGTGCTCGTTTTATCATTACATCTCTCTCTGTGTTTAATTTTAATGACATCCAATCTTCCGCCATCATATTCACAATGGATAAAAGAACTTGGAAATATACAGAAAAAAACAACATTAATAATATTCAAGAACATTAAATTATTTATAATTAATTATAACTATTTTTAAACTATCAAATTATCAAATCAAACACTGACATTTGATTCAAAATTCGATGGGTACTTAACAAATAAATACAGTTATGTAAACTTGTGAAATAATAAAATTACCAAAACGTTTAATAATTTAATTTTATTTTGGATAGGAAAAGAAAGTAAAAGACAGAAAGGAAGAACAAGAGAAGAAATAATCACATGTAACGTCTTGTTTCTTTGATGTCGTAACGATGTTTTATAAATATATAAATATATGTAATTTAATATAAAAATGAAATAGATGTACAAGATTCAATTAAATAGTTTATATTAAATTATATGACACGTACCTTTTCGTTTCCATCGCATAATAATAAATTTAAATGAAACCACTATAAGAGGTAACGTAATTCGTAAATTATCTATCATAAGTACCATGTCGCCCCAAACTCGTATAAGCGCGCATACAAGCGGTATACCAGAGACGAATATTACGGTAATGAAAATGAAACCCACGCGAATGTTAGATCCAAATTTTTTCTTAGAAACTTCATCGGTTGAAGGCCACAAACCTATTAGTTTCAAGCCTAAACGATGTAGTTCAATTGCCCATACAAAATCTAATTTTTTATACAAAATAAAAGATTTAGATAAAATAATTATAAATTAATACGTAAATGATTAAAAGACTAATTGTAACAGAAGATAACAATAACGCGGTGATAAGGATTTATGATATAAAATTATAATTGAGTATACAGAACACGCGTAATAAAAACGGAATATATATATAGATAATATAATATGAAATTCATATCTCTATAACCTGAAGATCCCGTAATGTTCATGTTGAAGACTAACTTGGAGAAGATCGTCCTGATCTTCCCACCATAAAATGTAAAACGATTATTGCGCATGCTTTCTATATAAGAGCAAGGAACTGGTACCCTCGCTGTATTAAATATTAAAAATGCTATCCGTAATTGATTACAGTTGTTGGTAAGGTAAAAAACTTTATAAGTGTATAGCAAGTCATAAAAATTGTTTACGTCTGGTAAGAGACAGAAAAAGTTTTGATGTAAGGAGAAAAATATTGCTTCGTATATTGTACGTTATAAGTTTGTTAAAACTTGTCTAGAGAGACATTTGTTTCATACTGTCCTTATACTTATTCTAAATTTTAATTCTTAATATGTGAATTTATTTCTAAACAAAAAATAATACAATTTCTACAAAAACTAATATTATAATATACGTAATAACGAATAATAACTGTTATTCAAAAATAAATATTTAGACAATACTATATTATATGAGTATATATAGTAATTTGCGTGTGTGTGATTTTTGGTTTCTCGATTCTTATATGTAATGCCTAACGTCTATTGAACTATTTTCGTGTAATGAAAATATTTGTCATATTACACAACGTTTAATGGAACTTAATTTATAAAAAATAATAACCAATAGAAAAGATATACTTTTATTTTCACTACAGTAACAATAAAAGATACAGACTAGGTAAGAATTATTGCTCGGGAAATTGTATTTATTTGTGAGTATGTAACTACGAACATATCCATTGATATATTTATATAATTATTAAATATTAATGTATCATTTTCTATTTTATGCCATGTTTTGTCAATAAAAACGATATATAGCCCATCGATGATTTCAATATCTGAAAATAATAATTATGTTTTTAACCCTTACAGTACAATCTGGGTCACTAGTGACCGAGCGATTCCTGTTCGTGCAAGTTTCTCGCAAGCTTTTGATAATTATAAATTATACTACATTTTAATATTTTCCAAAATGAAGTTTTAATATTTATTCTAGAAAGTTTAAAGTATGTTAGTGAATTTTTTGAGATTTTTTCAATCATTCTGAATAGGTGAAAAAAACGAACGAAATCTAGTGACCCATATTTGTACAGATGAGGCACCAAATTGTAGTTGGTACTGTAAAGGTTAAATTAAACGTTCTTTATTATATAACTGGCTCTTAGCTTTTCAATTGTTCTCATTTGTTTTATTCTTACAGAGCCTATTATTATTTATTATTTTAAGATATACGTTTTTATTATCGATATTCTTATGTAGGAGAGACCGGGATTAGTAGACCAACTTTTCAGTATTAAATTTTTAAAAACAAAACTAAAAGATTTACCAAAAGATAAATTCTAAATCAATTACTATACACATTCCATTTATACGGTAAAATATCGTAATTTGTATTGACTTATTTTTTTATTGGAGATTATAGAAGTACTCTTAAAATTTAGATGACTTTTTGACTAATAATAAATTCATACATAAAGGAATTAGTATGTTTCTACTTATCTACTTCATTGCTATATACAACTTATACTATTGTAATACTACATTTTACTAATAATATTTTAATAATAAGAATAAACTAATAACTGATATGAAAAAGAAAGAGAGGGAGGGGGCGGAATAAAGAGGGAGGAGAGAGAGGGAGAAATTAAATGTGAAAATAGAATTACACATGAGAAGTAAACTTAAAACGAGAGAAAACTTGATAATCTTACATTGCAAAAAGTAGTTATCGTTAATGGGAAAATCTTTCCTGCAGTTATATAAAAAGGATATTTAGTTCGCATCATTAATAAAATAAGACTTCTCGCCTTCCTTGATTCCAATTTGTACCATTCAAGATCGCACATTGCACGATGTACCGCATTGCACTTAATGAATACATATAAGAAAACATTAATGTCCACGCAGTTTCTCTTAATAAAGATTATTTCCAAAAATATTAATAACAGTTTAATAACGATTTAAATAACTTCTTATTTCTTGTAGAGGATACAGAAATGGATCATATAACTTGAATAAATAATAATAAAATAATAATAATATTATATTATATTTATAATATTATTATAATAGAATATTACAATTATAGCTGAGAAATGATCTGTTGCATTTTTTTTCTACATAATATAATAGCTCTCGTATAAGTATAACTTACTTGCTCTGTTATAAGGTCTCCTGCTTCACAATACAGAAAAGTATTTATCAATAAAATAAGAAGCATAAATATTGAAAAATATCCTTGTATGATAACAGTTTTATCTATTTTTACTTCATTAAATATCTAAAACATAAATTTTTAACAATATCAATTCTTATTGGAATGCTAAATTTCAAATCGAATGAGACAATGCTACAGCGGTCTAAGTTGGATCACGGGTGCTTTTAAATAATTGTGCGTGAATTTATATATCATACTACGAATATAATTGTTCGATTGCGCGCCGAAATATTTTCAGACTTGAAACGCAAGTTTGAAACGAGGCTCTATAGTCTAAAAGTTTAAGACTCTCGCACGGAATGCTAGAGTTCAACTCCCTGCCGAGGTACTATTTTTCGCAGTTAAAAATTAATTATTTATAGTTTTTAATAGATTATAAAACATTAGTAAGATCGATATAAGATGCGTAAACAACATCAACAATGTTAAATTGTTAGTCAATTTAACTTGTGATATAACTACGCGGTAGTTTATTTATAATGTTGCGTTTCAATTCTGAAAATTTTCGGCGTGCAATCGAAGAATTACATTCGTAGTATATAAATTCACACACAATTATTTAGAAGCACCCGTGACCTAGCTTAGTCCGCTATGGTATTATATTATCTCATTCGGTCAATAAATTTTAAGATAGCAAAGGGGCGTAGAGTAACTTCGATATTTAAGCCGCGCGGAGATATACAGCTCAGAAATCAGAAAAATTTAGAGTGAGGGTAATTTGAACGCAACCACTCTATTAATATATCTCTATGTTATAAATATTTATGATAAGGCTCAATAAGTATTCAACTAATATAATGAAATAAGGGCAATGAGCCAATTTTCATTAAAATCTTTAAATCAATCTAATATATTGCGAAGAATATCACGTAATGTTGGCGTTTCGTCTCGGCTTCCACTACTGGACTCATCAGTAAGGTATTGTAATGGAAGCCTACCTTAGACGCCTGTTTTAGTTATTAAATCGAGATTCTATATATACAGATATACGCGTATCAAAGCACTTGCGAGAATCTTAACGAATATCTATAGACCTCTGATGGCGGGTCGACGTAGTAATATTCTTCGCAATATATTATTCACAGTAATAATGTCAGTTGAATTGATGATATGTCAATGTTAAAGTAGTGCAAAAATATATAATAACTTACACAGAATGATTACTGTAGGGAGTGCAACAGGCTTAATGATTATTAGGTAGTATATAAAAAGGGACAGTAAAAGAAAGAAGTGCAGCAAAATACAAATGCTTAGATTTGTTATTCATAAATAGTTATATGTTCCACCTGTATATATATATATATATATATATGGTATATATTATATATATACATATACTATATGTATATGGCAAAAAAATAAAGATTTTAAAAAGCTTTTCTTATGTGAAATATGAATATTTTGATATAGGGATTTCTGATATTTTTATAATAATAAATAGCACGAAGTATCTGTTAATAATTATTTACCTTATTATATTTTTAGTATTCAGGATTCGGAATGCTATTTTAGAAGTTACTTATTAGTTACTTTTTATTGTAAAATTTGAGTAACAATGAGTTTGAATATTTTATTTCTTATAATATATTTTGTCGTTTGTTCCTTTTATGTTATACTTTTGTACTCAATTTTTATAACAAATATAATATATATAAGGTAAAATATAAAGTATAACTTATAACTACCTTTGTAATAATTTTATAAAATAACACTCAATTCTGGTATTATTTACCTTAAATATAGTAAATAATATTTAATTTTAAGTTTATTTACTATATTTATGCGGCATACATATCAAAGTTACCTTACATTATATGCCATTAAACATTTTCTCGTATTTGTTTTATTAAATCTTACAAAAGTAAATAAAAATCCATTTAGGCAAAATGCAACACCAAAATAAATGATCAATGTTAACATCAACAAGGAGTAAGTATTTTCGATATTGTCAGCAAATCTAAAATAAAATTATTTAAAATGGTTAGCACATTAAACCAAAACAATAGATACTACACAATATATACCATAAGTTCTCGAACAAAATTTCATACGCAAGTAAAATAAATGATTGTATTCTATTTACAGTAGAACCTTTTTATAGTTACGACCTCCCAATAGTCCACAGTCGACCTCCGTATAAGCACACGTTTGTAACCCACGTGACGCGTTTCCATGACAACTGTTTGCGCAGGCTGCGTTCGGAATTATCACCCGAGTACCTCCGTGTATCGTCTTATCCTTGTTTAACATTGAATGAACAACAAGGATAAGATGATACTCAGGGAAATCTAGGTAATATTTCCGAACGCAGCCCAGTAAACAATGCGCAGTTGTCTACTTATAAGACGCACTTAGGTTCGTATTTTTGTGTTCAATTGTAACCTTTAGGAATAACCTACAACTTATAAATTAATTATTTTGCATAATTGTTAGTTGCTTAATTATTTTTAAGTGTAAACATGAAACAAAAGAGGAAGTGTATAATAATAAGCAACAGATATAATTAAGGAAATTGCTTCCAGATAAAAAATTAAAGATGTGGTAAGAAAATATGGTATTTCGTCAAATTGTGTCAAAAGCTTTCTTACTGAAGAAATCTGTTTTGTTAGTCACATCTCAATAAAATAAATAGTTATCAAAACATTTCTCTCAGTGAGTGCTACATATGTTCTTAAAAAGGCTACGTACAGTCCTGCTTTGGGGCAGAGATAATATTGTCACATTTAGTTTCGAGCGTGTGATTATAAAGAGGTCCTACTGTAGTTTTCTACATAGTCCCTTTCCG